AAGCTTATAAAAGTCGTCGGAAGGCAGCCAGCAGAATCCGAAAACTAACGCCAGGGCTTGGAGCACGACAAAAGATTTGGGACTTTTTGATTTTGGACTTTGTCGAGCGGTGCAGAAGTGAAGTATGTGGCAAACAAAAACACGGCGGCGGCGGTCAAGCAATTGGTGAAAGTAAGGAAGAAAGTAAGTCAGCCACCTCTTCAACTTTCCGACGACTTGGGGGAGCAAACGAAAGGCGACTTATTTGGAACTCAAAACCTCCCGCCACGCTCCGCCCCTAGAAAATTTAACTTTTGCCATTCAACTCCAACCGACAGCATGTTAGGGACTTGGTTTTGGTTTTTTCCTCGTAGTTCCGAGGTTCAGCATGTTTGGCATGCTAACTTCCCACTCGTGCCTCCCACATGAATCTAAAAACATGTTGGCTGAAGACTTCTAATTGTCCAGAAGTGGGATGCTTGTTGCTTGTTTGTCTTTAAACGTCCTGTCATTGACTGGTGGGCGACCTATCGTGGGTGTTCCCCCGCCTCTCTTGCCAACAGTCTCCCCCCGACCGCGCCCCAAAAATTACATTCGAGTTAGTGGATGACTCGAAAATTTTGTGGGAATGCTTCAGGGATGGTGCTACACCGGGGAACTGGGGGTGCGATAGCCGCGTCAGAAATAAGTGTAATACCCGTTAAGGCCTTCCAGCCTATTATTTGGTATTCTAAAATATATCCCAAAATTATTTTCTCAGCCCTCTATGTATTGGTCAAGCTCCCCTTAGCTTAGGCCCAGTCAGGATGGACTTTGGCTGACCTCTTACCCCCATGAGGATAGTCACGATCCCATTCTATGGCATGCCTCTGATACTGGGTTCCGCCAAATAATTTGGAATTACCGGTAATTGTTGTATCTTTTTTTTTTTGGTCAAAGTGCGTTCTTACACATGAGGACCAACATTCTAAACCAAATACTTTTGCTCTGAGGCAATGAAAAGCGCTGATGCGATTGTGATTCATTAAAAAAAAAGTCAAGCTTTTAAAGGCCTATTTTTTTCTGAATCTCAACATGCGGTTTATTCAATCGAGTCCTTTTTTCGTATTAAAAGTTTTTTTGCTCAAATGAACTCGTTAACATCTGACTTCTTCCCCCGTTAAGATTGAACTTTAATATAATATTCTGATTTTGGCTTGGAAAAAATATCGACTTTAGTCTTGTAAGATTCTGACTTTTTGATCCCAATAAGATACAACCTTTGGAAAGCTGACGATTTCTTTTTCTTGAAAGAAATACGACTTCATTCTCAGAACGTGACACATTCGCCCCCCCCCCCCCCCCCCCCCCCCCAAAAAAAAAATAATTTGACTGAATGGAAACCGCATGAACTGGGCAACTGGGAACTTGGCAACATTAGAATTGCAATAATGGCTTTTGGGGGTATGTGCTGTGGTTAGTAGGGCCCCTTGGAATAAGGTCTCTGCTACAAGCCCCAAATTTGTGAAGGTTTGCTTTGGAACATGCCAGCTAACGGCTAGCTGGCATTTTGTTCCCTTGAGCGACACTTGAAATGCGTCTTGTATTTTGCTGCTTCAGAAAAGATGCCAAGGCGCTGACGAGATGGAAGTCAGCGACAAGGAACGGCTACGGTGGCGCGACGAAGACACAGACAAGGACACCGACCACACCCAGGAGCCCCGAGATGAGCCGGGCCTTCCCATCATGCACTGGGAGGCGTTGAGCCTTCGCATCGCCGAGCTGGAGAAACAAGAAGAGGAGAAGAAGGACAAACTGGCAAAGGTTGGATGCCTGCCCGATTCCGATTCCTCTCATTTGTACTTCCTATTTAAACAACAAAACAAACAAATCAACAACAGCAAACTTACGTAAACAAGATGAAATGACATTGGCACACTGTTGTCCATTTGTGGTTGGTATGCCTTTAAGGGGCGTGGTACTCTGGCTCTCTTTGCACACATGCCAGCATGTTGCACTGCCTTAATTGCACCTTTTTTTTTCTTGAGTGGTGGCATATCCAAAGCTTATGCATACTCGCAACACAAAGCAAATTACGGATAAGCGATGACTTCGAACTGGAAAAAGTTGCGAGTCAAAGTAGCACTGAAGCAACATGAAACATCATCACCCTTTTTTTTCTTTGTGTTTATTTTTGATTGCCAGAGCGGCGCGGCATCCCTGGAGCAGGGGCGAGCTCCCGTCAGCTACGCAGACGAACAAGGATGCGGCAGACGAGAAAGCTGGGAGGACGGACGCCGACGTCATCGCCGCCACCTCGACCGTCGGGACGGGCTGGACCGCAGCGATGACAGTGACGACTTGTCAGCCCTCGGTTCACGGTAACCAAAGCAAACTTTTGACAAGTCTTTCGGGGTGTGCCTCCGCTCGCTCAATTGGTTGTCTTTTTTTGCATGGTCCAGGCTGCAGACGCAGATGAACCTTCAACTCTGCTTCATCAACAACAGCGAGAGTGACGACGAAGAGCAAGAAGAAGAAGAGGAAGAGCGAGAGGAGAGAGATGCCAGCGCGGCTGTGGTACGTGTCGCCTCGACTCCGTATTCCACGCATCTGGCCATCTCATTCAGGGACGTGCGGTCAGGGTCAATTGCGCCTGACTGCAGCCTGCAGATCAGGCTTGGACTAAATGTGGGAGGAGCTAATCGTTTGACGGAAGTGGTCGAAATGGCCATTTTGACATCCATTTTTGGTGAATAGAAGCTCGAGAGCCATGGAAGCACAGCGTGTTCAGGGAAAATGGGAGAGTCAACGATGGTTCTGGGCCAGGGGTGTCAAACGTATTTTTGTCACGGGCCAATTTGGAGTTAACTCCTTCCTTTCCTCAGAGGGCCTTTACGGCAGTGAAACCGAATAAATGTGAAACCATGACATCGTATTATTACTTGTACGCCCCCAAAAATAAATATGTATGGATTATTCATCCATTTTCCGATCTGCTTTATCCTCACAAGGGGGGTGCTGAGCCTGTCCCAGGCCGTCTTCGGGCAGTAGTCGGGGGACACCATGAACCGGTTGCCAGCCAAGCGCAGGGCACACATAGACAAACAACAATTTATGCTCACAATCACGCGTACAGACAATTACAGTGTTCCATGAACCTGCCATGCATGTTTTTAGAATGTGGGAGGAAACCGGAACACCCGGAGAAAACCCACACAGGCACGGGGAGAACATGCAAACTCCACACAGGGGGGCCGAAGCCGGGATCGAACCCACGACCTCTGCACTGTGAGGTCAACACTCGAACCACTCGCCCACTGGGCTGCCCAAAATTGATGGCTTACTTGTTTTGAAATCAGTCAACTATTCATTTGTTGTTTGTTCAAGTGAGTGTAAACGGGGTCACAATTTTTTTGCAAAATTTCAACGTTATTTAATGACACATAGCAATTTGACTTTTGGGTACAGATTTTAGCAAGGTTTACGGCAGCTGACACGCATGATTTGCTTTTGCGGGCCACATAAAATGACATGGCAGGCCAGATCCGGCCCCCGGGCCTTAAATTTAACACCGGTGGTCTCGGCGATTAGAATGAGTGCAATACCACATATCCCGATAAGAAACCACACTCGACATACGTAACCACTCGAGGAAAACTCAGCTGGTTGAGGTCATACTTCGCCTCCATCTTGAAACGGTAGTCCGCCTTGATCTCTTCCATTCACTCGTATTGAGGGAATTGTGATTGGTTTCAATATATTGATCCTAACTCGTCCACTTCTTTACCAATTTCGACATGGATTGGCTTGTTAGAAACATCTGGCAAGCAGTCATGGCGCCAGATGCTCATGTTTCAATGAAGGTCAAATTTTAAATGTAAGCTAATCTTGAAATTTCGGTTTAATGTTTTTATATCCGACTCCAGAGGCTTTTTCCTTCATAAAAAGTCGCCATTCCAAAACTGCATTTTGTGTTTATTTGGGTCATCTTTGTCCGATAGCTACATTTGCGTGATGATTTGAAACTTTTTGTAATTTTGTACACGGGCATAGAGAGGAAGCGTCGTTGCGGGTCACAAGACGGCCACGCCGGCGGCCAAGACCGAGAAAAACAAGTCCAGGGGCTTCCGCAGCACTTGGAGGAAACTGCGAGAGCGACTGCGAGCGGACCACAAGCCAGCCGTGAGTGACAAAAAAAAAAAAAAAAAAAGGCAGCGCCCGTTCACTCGCCCTCTGACGGTGGCTTCTGCCCGTTCCCCTCAGAATCCGCCCGGCGCCGCCGACCCGCCGCTCCGCGGGAGACGCTTGGAGCGCGGCGACGTGCACAAGTTGAGCCTCGGGGAGCTGCGTGCGCAGCGATCATTCCTCACTCAAACAGTACAAAGTACGTACACGACAGCAACCATTTCGACAGCTTTTCCGAAAAATGCTTCATTGCAACATAGTTCTTCTTGTTGCGCCTCAGAGCTGAGCTCGGATCTGGTGGCCGGGCTGCAGGTGCGAGACCAACTGAGGACGGAGCAGGACGCCATGTTGCTGGAGCTTCAGGACCTCACGTCCTTGCACGGCTGACGGACGCCAGCGTGCGCCCGGTGTCACCGACCCAATGACTCCTTGAGGAAGAACGTCCGCCGACAGATTGACTTTCCGACAATGGGACTGACTTTGACCATTTCAACACGTTAACGTGACACTACGTTTGTTTGTTTTTAACACATAAAAAGGGAATTTTCAACCACATGTTTTTATATCCACAAGGACGATCACGCCTTTGTCTGAATAATGCCGTCGATGTTTTCCGTCTCCGTGCGTTAGCTTAGCATGAGCGCCATTTGGACTAAAAGCTTGAAGGTGACAATGGGAGGCGGAAGGTTGGTCCACTTGTTTATGTTCGACCATGTTGACGTGTATTAAACTCTGTTGAAATCATCACGACTTCTCTGTGAAATTGTGACAAAACATTCTGAAAATGGCCAACATTCATGTTAATAATCTAGTCGCAAATCAGGTCAGCACTCTGAAATTTTTTGGACACGAAAAAAAAACCCTCCAATTTAAAATAATGCAGGACTTGTGAAAAATCATCTTCGCAGGCCGTGTCGGACCGCCTGATGGCCTGCTTATGGCCCACGGGCCGTATGTTTGACACCCGGGCTGCAAAATGAGAGTGAGGCCGGCCTCTCTGTCTCTGTCTTGCTCTCTCGCGCGCGCAGGTGGTCAAGTGGGGATGACACGGCGAGGGCTCGGGGGAGGGGCTGCATCGCCATGGCAACGTGCGAAGAAGACGACAAGAAGAGGAAGATGCGAACGTCTTTAAGCCTGTGAGCGCTTGCGCGTCTTCTTTTGTTGTTTGTTTGACTTTTGGATTATTTGCCGCCCTTTTGGGACTCTTGCCATGGGGCTGAGTTTGCCATATGGAGTCGTCGCGGGCCTTGTGCAGTGATGCAGGTATTTATGAGCCCAAGCGAGCGCTCGCTCGCATACACACACACACACACTCACACACACAACAGCTGCAACAAAGTTAATTCATCAGTTGTCCAGGCAATACTTTTTTTGATTTGTCAATTGAAGAAAAAGTTAGTTTGAGTTCTTTTCCCTTTTCTGACCAGTTGGACCAGCCGGAACACCTGTTGCACCTCTATGCACAACTGACACCCGAATCGCAACCGAATGGTTAAAGGGTGTCGATATTGTCGCTCAGGCTAATGAAGCGCCAGTATGTTTAAAGTGTGTTCGGTTTTTCTTGGAAGTGATGGAAGATCAACAGCGTGCGGCGTGACGCGAGCGAGCGTAGTTACTTATTGCTGAGTTAATGGGCTGAGAAGAGACTGAATCAGCAGCGGCGTGCCCTCGTCCACAGGAAGGCAAACACCCTTGGGGACGGACAACAGGAGGTGAAAGGCGCTGTGCAAAGAGCCCAGTGCCGAGTCAGCAACGGAAATGGGGGGAGGGCGGCAGGGGGCTAAATTATGTTGAGATGCGGCCTTCAAAAAAAGTCACACAAATTCAATTTCCCAAATAAATTGACCCCCACCCCCACCCCTGTTGCTGATGTAAAATGCAATTGCTAATTACATTCAAAACAAACTTGCGTTTTTTCTGAGATATTCTTTTTTTCTCCTGAAACAAAACAAAAATCTTTTTCTTTCTTTGCCTCCACGTATTATTGATTAAGGCTGTCCCCAATAGCTTTAGAATCAATTCTTTTGGCAACTATTCCATCTAATGATCAACTCAACTCAACTCAACTCAACTGTATTTATAGAGCACTTTGAAACAGCCATATCAGATCAGATAAGGAAATATTTTGTATGAGAGTTGATTGCAAAGTCACCCCCCCCCCATTACCGTTTACTAAAAGGAAAGTCAAGTCAAACATTTTCTTGACAAAATGTTCGTTGCACCTGCACTAGTCTAAACCCGGCGTTCTGATTCATATTGTGTTTGCGGGATATGAATTATGGAGCATAATCCATCCGCTTTAATCCATTTTAGGGAGCGGCCATTTTGCCACTTGATGGCACATGAAAATGACATCATAATTGCTCGACAGCAAGTGGCAAAATGACCGCTTCCTGAGATGCATAAAAGCAGGTGGCTTTTCCCTGCTTAATTCATATTCCATAAAGGCAATATTAATCAGAATTCTTTGCTCAGACTTTACATATTATTGTAAAGAAAATGTTTTGACTCGACTTTCCCTTTAAGTCATTCTTGTTCAACGATGAAAGAAAATGAAATCAACAACAGTGAAGCGAAATCAAATGACGGGGAGTGACGTACTTGCCAACGTACCTTTTTGAAAATGAGAGCTTCTTCTTGTCTACCAACTGAGTCCAAGGAAGTGCTACGAGTTTGCACTCGACAACTTGTGAAGTTTCTTCAGCTTCAACGACATCGATGATAAAATCATGATTTTCATTTAGAATAATTATGATTCCGTTTCAGGTTTGGTCTGTAAGTCAGAATATCGGCAAAACTTGTCCGAAGTAAAAGCTGATGTTTGCGAACATCTTACCTTCGAAAAGTGACCCTTTGGTGCCTTCCAGGTGAGCGTTGGCCGATGAAGAGGACGACGGTGACGAGGGCGAGGGTTCCTGCGGCGGCCATGACACGGGCGGGCGGCGACAACGGCAGCTCGCCGCTGTGCAGCATCGACGAGTCGTACAAGTACATCTTCCTGCCCACCTGTTACTCGTTCACGTTCGTCTTCAGCCTATCCCTCAACGCCGTGGTCCTGTTGCGCTCGTTCCGCCGCACCAAGCGCTGGAACGCGTCGCTCATCTACATGGTCAACCTGGCCTCCACCGACTTCATGTACGGTCTCTCGCTGCCCTTCCTGGTGGCCAGCTACGTCATGCGCGACCGCTGGGTCTTCGGGGACTTCATGTGCCGCCTGGTGCGCTTCCTCTTCTACTTCAACCTCTACTGCTCCATCTTCTTCCTCACCTGCATCTCGGTGCACCGCTACCTGGGCATCTGTCACCCCATGCGGGTCATCGCCCTGGAGACCAAGAAAGCCGTGAAGTGCACATGTGTGCTGGTGTGGGCGGTGGTCTTCGCCCTCACCTGCCCCATCTTCCGCTTCGCCCGCACGGCCCGCGCCGCCGGAGGCGTCGACAACTGTTGGGACGACGCCATCGACAGAGATTTCTCCGACTACGTGCCGTACGGGGTGGCCCTGCACATGCTCGGCTTCTTCGTGCCCTTCTCCGTCATCGCCTGGTGCTACTCACGAGTGGTACTCACCATCTTCAAGACTCTGCCTTCTCGCCCTCGCGACGGAAGGGAGTTCGCCGCCGGCGTCTCCGTCTTCCTGGGCGCCGATTCAACGTACGCCGGCCGCAGGCGCAAGTCCATCCGCACCATCGTCACCATCACCCTACTCTTCGCTCTGTGCTTCTTTCCCTTCCATGTGACCCGCACCGTCTTCCTGCTGCTCAAGGTGAGCAAGGGCGTCCCTTGCCAAACCATGACCACCGTGTCGATGTGCTACAAGATCACGCGGCCCTTAGCGTCCTTCAACGCCTGGCTCAATGCCCTCCTCTATTTCCTCACCAAAGACAAGGGCGGATGCTGCCCGCCGCCGGCCCCCGCCACCACCGGGCCACTGTTGCCTCTGAGGATGCTGGCGAAAGGAGATGAGCACGTACACCGGCATGGCAAAAGTCCTTTACTGACCTAATGGAAAGAAGGCAGCTTCTACGCTGACTGTCGTCTTCTTTGAAATCCTGCCAACAGACTTGATTTGATTCATATTAATCATGTTCTAATAATCAAGAAAGAATGGTTTCGGTGAAATGGTTGAGTGACACACGAGAATTAAATAAATGATCAGAATACGCAGCAATGACCATAATTTTTTTAACCCCCCCCAAAATTGTTCAGAAGCATTTTCTGTGAAAAACGGTGGTAGGCTCCCACAAAAAGCAAAATGGAAAAAAAAATCAGTGAGTATGCGAATCCGCCAATAGACAATTTATTGCTTTGGTGCCAAGGAACTATGTTGAAGTCAATTAAGGAATTTCATTTCGACAGAAACAGTGCTGTGTTGCCAATTTGCGACATTTGTAGGCAATTACAAATCACTCGCACAGAAGGACTTGCGTCTAGAAGGACGTATTGCCCAGCGAGGAAAAAAAAAATACAATGAGATCACAGGTGACCTTTAAACCAGCCTCATTTGAATACATTAATTTGATGTGCCATTTTCATGTTATTTGCTTGGAGAAGCATTACTTGTACATTATAACGGGAAGAATGTGATATTTAAACATCTCTAATCAGGTATGTCACTGAGTGCAACTCAAAGATTTGTCTCCATCATGTTGTCAGAACAATGAAATGAAAGCAAAGCCCATCAGGACAAAAATTGCTGCAAAATATAAACCTGACCTCTGTCTGGTGGATGCAATTAGTGAAGTTCGTTCTTTGGTATTTTTATTTCATGCAGGGATCCTAGAATGAAATGCGCTGCTATTGTTGAGGGGGGGGGGGGGGGGTTGTCAGCAACAGTGGCAGCGTAAAATGGCTGCGCTGGTCGTGGCGTCAGCGCTTTACACTGTATCTGGCGACCTCTCGTGGAAGATGGGTGGATTGGCGAGGAAAAGGTGGCAGTCAGTCTTCACCTGTTTGTGGGATTTGAACAAACAATCATCATTTTAATCCTGCTTTTAAGTATGAGTTGACTTGTTCGTTCAGGAGGAAACTCAAAATTGCGTACACGGGCCCCTGTAGCAGAGGTCGACACCGAGGCGCCAAAGTCAAACGTCAACCGCGCACCGCATCTACTGTCATGTACCCCACCGCGAACTCGAATAAGCCAAAACGCCCAGATGAATATTACACCGAAAATGAATATAAATTATTCTAGCGTTTTTAATTCCAAAGTTACGCTGTGCGTTTTTGTTGCCACATTTTGCTAAAAGTGGAGAGTCTTTACATGCTCGTGACAGGTTTTTTTTTTTTTTTTCTTTTGGTGGGGGGAAAGTGACGATGAAAGGACACAAACAAACATGGCGCCATTTTCAAATGGGTCACCGACGCACAATCCCAAACTTCCAAAAGCCCTCTTCTATTTCGGCTCTTTTGCTTCTTTCATCCACCGGGGACATGCCGCCAAGGTAAGATACGTGTCCTGTCTTATTTAACCTCTCGTCATGACAATGTGAACTCGAGTCAGCATGAGTCCATTTGTTTTCAGGGACTTCAACTGACGCCCTACAACGGGTTCCCGAATGCGGAAGTGAAAATCATTCGTAACTTATCATTAAAACGTGAATTTAGCACGCTTTAATTTTAGATTAATTAACACATGAATTTAACCGCATTATAACGTGATGCTTATTTCTGGTGTGGCAGCAGAGACACGAGTGCCTCCACCTCACAATTACAACATGACCTCAAAAAGTCTGGGAAGTAAATGGGTAGTCCCGTATATTTGAATGAAGTGGTGGAATGGAATGAGGGATCGGAACCAACCCCACCAGGCACGGGACCCCCTCACTCCCCTGTCCTCCGGCAACAAGGGCTGTCCCAAACAATTTGTTGGGTAATCGATGACCCTATCGAATTTTCCATTGATTACTTTAAGACCCCCCCCCCCCCCACTGCAAATAAGTCAAGTTTTGTCAAATAGATATTGCCAATTGCACAATTGTCTGCTGCTTCTTGTCAAGTTGAGAAAAAAATAAACAAAAAACAGGTACCGAAATCGTTTAATGATGATGAGATAGGGTGCACCAGAACAGCAGTTCATGTTTTGGAGTCATCACTCCGGATCCTGATGTGCCGCTATCATACATGCCGCCACTTTCCCATGATTTTGTGTGCATTCGTGCTTTAAATGGTTTGAGTTGTCATCATCATTGTCTTTTCCGGGCACTGCATGCAGTCAAAACCTACGTGTGTGTGTGTGTGTGTGTGTGTGCGCGCGCGCGCGCGTTCCATATGAAAATGTCCAAATGTCCTGCTTGAAAATGCTTGTTCACTCAAAAATGTTGAAAATATTTCACCATCCAACTAAAACACTGTACGTTCAATAATAAAAACTGACACATGCTATAGGTCATTTTGGTGATCGTATTTTAGTGTTTTGAATGCATATCATGACGTGTGCATGTTCCAGCTAGCGGTGTGTTGAGCCGTAGCAGCACATCATTTCTAATACTCATGTGTGCGTGACCAGTGTGTTGTGTGCTGTTCCTGTCAGACACAGAAAAAAAGACATGAGTACAACAAATTCATATCAGCTCTATTTTGTTGAGAAGGAATCCAAATGGGTTTTCATAGCCTTGATTGGATATATCATATGATACACTGTGTGTGTGTGTGTGTGTGTGTGTGTGTGTGTGTGTGTTTGTCGGATGATGTGACATCAGCGTGACAGCAGAGGAAGGTCGCTGGAGTTCATGATGAGGCTGGAGTCCAGGTTCAATGTATCTGCTGACATAGACAAACTTTGATTATAAATACTTTTGGACTGGCTTCTGGATTTGTTTTCGATTTCTTGATCATGACTTCAAGTGAAGACGCAAATGAACGTGTCATGTCGGTTTCGAGCACCTTGATCAAAGTTGAGCTTTTTGGACGGGGACGCTTGTCCCAATCCCTCAATATCGACCAGGTCGCTGTTGACATCCGAGTCGTTGAGGGCACTCAGGGTGACATCTAAACACACATACAAATGCTTTGGTCTAGTGGCTCGTTTCCGTGACTTGTGCTTGTGCTCAAACTCACCCGCAGCCTTGCGTTTCTTGGCGGCAGCCACGCCGGCCTGCACGTTGGGTTGGGCGGGAGCAGTTCCGGGCGACAGCACAGCGGCTTTCTTAGTGGCTGTTGTGTTGGGTGGGATACCTTCAGATGAGCTGCAGCGAGTGGTGTCTTCATGCTTCCGCTTGACCGGGGTCTTGGTGTGAGTGCTGGTGGTAAGAAGGAAAGTGAATTCAAGCCGCATATCAAATTTACGCACATGAAATTGATACACAAACCTGGTGGGGTTGACCTCGGCCACGGGGTGTAGTTGCATGGTGAGTTCTCCCAGTCGGCTGAAAGCAGCGCCGGCTGCTGAAAAGATTTCTCCAACCTGCGTGCAAAACAAACAATCAAGCATCGCGGTTCGTTCTGGACAACTTGAGGAGGAATAGAGATGAGCACCGTTGCCATGACTACCCGATTCACTGTAATTGACCACTTGCCCTGTGCATGCAAATAAGTCCGTAATTTAACTTTCGCACTTCAAAACTGTGTATTGTGCTGTCATTTTTTTTGGGGGGGGGACTTACTTTGGTGGAAGCTGAAGTCATGTTTGACGCAGGCGGTGTGGCTTAAACAGCACCTAATATGCTAACAACAATGGAGCCAGCTAGCATCGGCGGCTAACTTGCTTTTGCCGGCGGTCGGTTGTGCTCTGCTCAGGGTGTCGTAGTCACGAAAGCGAAAGCTCCGGCATCCGAACAAACTGCCCGCGCATCATCATCCCAAAGCATTTACCTTCGCGAAGTTGACATTAACCGCAAGAGAGCCTTTGGAAACTCAAGCTGATGCCTTCGCCGTACCGCGCAAGTTTATGAACCACGTTTACGACTATAGTTTTTTTTAGGTTGAATAATCAGTCATCAAAACACAAGCGATAGTACGGTTTACCACCAGGTGCGCGCTTGATCTGGACAGCCCAGAGCAGGAAATTGGATTTTAACTCTGAGTGGTTCAGCCACAGCAACCCGTTTTACCTATTTCATCTGAACGCAACATACCGAAAGTCGATTGCCGCTGGTCATGTGACCACGTTACGTCACTCAGTGCGCTTGGTTTTTCCCAGTCAACCTTGATTGTTTTGTGTGTGCGCGTGTGTGTTTGTGTTTGTTTGTTTACTTATTTAGGGGTAGAGGGTCCCATTCATGTCCATATTGGCAAAAATGTTATTAGAATGTAAAAATGAACATTATGTCAATAAAAAAGGCAGCCTTGGTTGACATCCAAGCCCCTGTTTTAGAAAGACTTCCGGTGTGCAATCACGTGACTTGTATGTCGTTAATGTTTTCTTCATTTGCTGGCGAGTAGCGCTTTTTTCCCATCCAAAGTTTATTGAGTGTTAACAACATACACGAATCACAGTGTGCACAGTCTTCTCGTCCAAGTAGCCCAGGGGTTCAAAGAACATCCAGATAAAAAAAAAACAAAAAAACAATAGCATTTTAAATACAGCACAATATGGTCATAGATTTGCGTTTTTTAAACAATAAATATAAAGGTTGACAACATACAGCTTTCCTAAATCCAGTTTACCAAGAGTGAATAGCCCAAACAGAAATGTATTTTCATTAAGGCTTCAAATTTAGAATTGGTAGTTGTTCAGATCCGTACAAAAAATGCAAGTCTAAGCACAAATGGCATATTGTTTCCCCTTCATTAAATCAAACGGGAGCACATTGGGTCAATGTTAATTTTATATTTTTAAAGCCTTAATCTTTACAGAGTAACTCCTGTGACGTATTCACATTGTTTCTAATTCTTTTCTAGACAGAAAGCCACAAGTGGAACTTTTTGTGTTGATTCTCATTGAAACAGATGAACCCCCACCTTGTCCCAGCCCCCCTGACTACACATGTGTATATCAGCGTCTATCTTGGAGAAAATGAGCAAATGCTACCTTTCCATTTCAACAGAACCAAGTCGACCTTATGAGTCATCATACTATGATGACTAAAAGGTGTCGATGTCATGCTTCTGTGACCAAATGTGCTGATGTCATGCTTCTGATGTCCTTTAAGCGGCTCCGATCAAAGAACCGAAAGAAAAGGTTTGTGATTGACCACTGAAAATCGACAAGAGCAACGCTGTGGTCAAATCCCAACGCAAGAGTCACAAAGATGGCGTCAAGTTTCAACAAGCTGAGAAAAGTCTCAGAGAAGAACCAAATTTGTGACGGCAATCTCCACCCGTCGCCATTCGGCATTTATGACCTTCTGAACACTCAGAAATGCCTCAAAGACTTTTTCGTCCAGCGGGGGATGTTTGGCGACTATGCGACCATTTCTGAAGTCAACCAGGTAACAAATAAACGTGCACGGTGCTGTTGTAACCTTTATTGACCCACATTCTTTCCACTAGAATGGGACATCGAGCCTCAGGGCCAAGGAGAAGGACGACAAAATCAACAAAGTCATCAAAAGCATCGTTGAGAAAAGCATTGCGGACATTGCCAAGATGAGGCAGCTCATTGCTCTGTGGGATGCGGAGGAGCGCTCCACAACGCACTCTTACATCGACGAGTCGTCATACGGCCTCGTCACCCAACAGAAAATTAAACAGTACCTAAAGGATTTCTTCTCAGAGCGCCTCACGTCAGCTGAGCACCCAATAGATCTCCAGGACATCGCGGACTCTTCTACCGAGGGGAGAAAGGAAGACGACACTGGCCCGTCTCTGTCATCTCCCATTATTGGGAAGGCCATGAACATGATCAGTCAGGTGATACAGCCTGTTGTTGACACCATCGACTCCGCCAGTAAAGTTACGAAAGCTGTGGTCAAAATGTTAGCGCGGAGCGATCGAGACGATCAAGAAATGGCGAAAGAGTCGGATGAAGGAGCGAAGCAGAAGTCGCCCCAACAGGTCTCGCATCGTTATTCGGCCGCAGAGGACGCCGGGGTGCCTCACTCTTCTTCAACCGCTGTCGGGAAGGAAAGGACTGTCATGCATGCCAACAAAGACGAGGACCATCTGGTCCATCTGGTTCCTTCGTCTGAGGAAGATCGAAATCAGACATCAAGGCTTTCATCGGTAATGCCGGAAGCTGTGGAGGACAGTTCGTCTGCAAATAAGGTCAGGAGTGTCAGGAAAGACGACAATCGTGTTGCGCCAGCAATGTTCAACGAGTCTGTCATGGATGAACTCTGCAATTTGCAATATGAGATCCAGTTGACCCCCAGACTCTCCCCCATATTAGAGGAGACTGGGGAGACAAATTCTTCTGCTTCCTCTTCAGCCATCGTGGACAAGATGGGCTTCCTTGAGGGTGAATCCATCTCCAGTCTTTTGGTCCCATCGGAGTCCACTGCTGTGGCAGGTTCATCTGTTCCTACTCCTGCCACCTCCACCTCCACTCTCGAGAAGACAAATATCATCCAAAGCGGGATACCTGCGCAACGTAAGGAAGCGGAGAAGCCCTGCTCCACGGACATGGAATTGACCCGTCAGGTTTCATCATTAAGTGGCGGGAAGCCCGACGCGATGGGTGACCACGGAGATGACATGATTTCAATTGCAGAATCCTCTGAAGAAGAGGCAACAAAAGCGAGCGCTGCGATTGAGGCTTGGTCCACCTCCAGACTTTTAAGCGTCTCCCCAGTCTCTTCTACCGCTACGTCTTCTCCCATCATTGAGAAGGCCAGAACTATCATCAGCCATGTGATGCAGCCTGTTGTGGATACCATTGACTCCGCCAGCAAGGTTACAAAAACAGCCGGCAAATCCATTGCTAAAAAAGTGAAATCCATGTGGAAGTATCGCTCAGGCAGGAAGAAGGGAAAGCGGGGCAAGGGAAAGAGTGACAAAAACGCTGCCAGAAACGGACAGCAAGATATTTTGGACAAACACAGTGGGGAGGAGGTGATAGAGGAGGACAAGATGGAGGATGAGAATGATGCGGAAGATGAGGACGAGGACGATGAGGGGGATGAGGAAACGAGCACTGCTGAGGTGGACTCATTCTCCGAGCTTTCAGGCGCATTCAACGATGGTGAGGTTGTCGGTACCTCAGATGCTCCTCCGTCCATCGTTGAGGACAACACAGTTCCGAAACCCGCAGATGTCTTGAATGACGTGGCAGTCGAAGAGTTCTGCTTCTTTGAGGCGGAATCGTCTTCTGTCATTTCGACTCCATTTTTGGACGCGAGCATGACGAGATCGTGTGATCCCACCTCATCTTCTTTAGCCGTTCCCGAGCAGGCAAAACCTGAAAATTCTACTCCGGATATCCTCGAAGACGAACAACTCTCCTCCAATTCTAAATCACCGGAGAATAAAATGACAGTCGCAGAGACGGATGAAGAGCAGGCCAGTGATATAAATGCCCTCCAGTCGGAGGATGACGGCCCAGAGCACAACATCTACAGTATTTTTGAGAACATTTTCAGAGAGGAGTTTTCCAAAAAATTAGAAAACTCCCTCAGACAAGGTCTATGCGATGCCGTCCGCGTCTACGTCCCTGAAAGAAGCTCAACGGAATCCCTCGAGAGCACGAACATCTCATGCGAGCTGGGTGACCATTACAGAAAAAAGGAGGTCGATACTTCATCGGTGGGTCCGCAAGACTCACTGGAGAGCGGCTCCACCTCAATCACTTCTTTCGCGAGCTACCAGCATTTATCAGATGCCAGTCTTAAGGGGATACCGCCGGAGGGACTCGATTCCAAGAGAAAGTCACTGTGGAAGAGGTGGAAAATGAGGCGTGCCAGGAAGATTCTGCCGGGACTTTTGGAGTGCCATTGTACGCCTCGCGCCTCTGACAGCGTGGCCTCAGACAGCAAAGCCACAGAACCAGCCATCAAGTCCATCTTGAAAAAAGTCACGTCAATTTGGAAGTAGGGCACAGAGATCCGCAGTTGTTGACTACGAGAGGCAGACGAACACTGCCTGAGGCTCAGGGACCGATCAGGACTAGATACCATCACCACTGGAACCCATCATCTATCAGATACTGCTCTCTCATTTACAAGGGAAAGAGACTAGTCTCCTACTACTAATCCTATTTATTTCTTTCCATAAAAAGTCTGGCAAATCAATGTTGTCTTTTTTTTCAGTGCGGTCTACAGAAATCATGCTTGTCAGTTTTTCTCGACGGTGATGCTGTTTTCTACACAACTGGGAAGGAGGAAAAAGTACGCCAGCTCCCACCCTTCATTCTGACCGAAGACGTGCCCTTCAATCTGCTCGAGGCCTTTTGTAAATGTACCAATCGGCTCCTTTGCTCGCCCCTCCAGTGAAGTGCTCCTCTGCGCAGTGTCCCGGAGGAACAGAGGCACAAGTCAGATCAAGTGAATGAACACGAGAAAAACTCTTACTTCCCAACAGTACTTCTCTCGCCTCTGTTTTGCCTCGAACTACCTCAGAAGCTGGAAAAGTTGCGGGCTCACTTCAACCCATCATTCCTTTTTGTAACCTTTCACACAGCGCAGCCTGCTGTTGTGATTCGTGGCGATTTGTCGTCTGAGCGACTACCAGTCCCAAGAGCATCTGCGTGTGATCGTGTATGGGTGTGTGTGTGTGACAGAAGTGGATAACTGACCAAAATCGGGGAGCTCTGCCAAACCCTCTTGTGTTACGTCTCTAATCCAAGGTTGGAGCTCAGCGTCCTGATGGACATCTTTGTCTGACTAGTAGTACAAACTCATCATCCCTGAGACAAAACTGATGAGGACGTTTGAATGAGCACGTTGTGTATCTGTGTATGGCTTCTCACAGCATCAGGCTTGGTAGAAATACTTTGGCAGCTGAGAGACCCCACGATCAATGAAATCCAGGTAGTGGTGGAGTGAGCGGTAGGTGAGATCGCTTTACTTTCTAGGCCAGAATGAGCAGACCTTCAGCACCTGTAGACACCCTACAAACATCCCGCACTGCCATTGTCACTTACCAAGTCGCATGGACAATATGGGCTCACCCGTTTGAAGATGCCATCTGCAGAGATGAGCCGAGTGTGCCCCCTACAGTTGATCTACTGTGTGTAGCGCTAGGAGCCAAAGCGCATGCAGATCCCTATCGAAGAATTTACGAATGACCAATAAAACTGTAAATTAACCCAAAGGCTGTTTCGTTCAATATCTAATTCAATCTGTGTTGGCGTATGTTATCGTGGTCACTGACTTCATAAACAGGATGTATTGAAGGCCTTAAGTGTAGCCACGTAGAACACTTCCACCAACATGTGGGAAAGCACCTGGAATTCTGAGTGACACACCCACATCTATGCCAGCAGCCCAAAAAGGGCGGGTCTTTGGTCAGGAAAATGCTGGGTATGTGATTGGTTGGTGATTGCCATCCGGCATAGCTTTGAAACCGAAATACATCACAGGCTTCATTGTACCTTCAGTATTTCCATGCACAAGCATGACTGCTTCCTGTCTTATTGACAACAGGCAGAGGCACTCCGTCTGGATGTTGGTTGAGGAGGCAAAGGGGACCCGTGATGTTTTGCAGTTGACCCTTGATTGCATTAGTAGGAATCCAGTCCATGATGGTGTCTTCTAACGAAAAGACATTCCCGACCTGTACAGGACAGACAGAAAGTGAATCGACCCGGAGAAAAACATATCAACTCCATAAACCGCAGAAGGATGACATGTCGAGGCGACCTGGGGTTCTTTATCCCGATTGGATCCTTTAGGAAATGAGTTCTGCGCCGTGAAAGCCGTGACCGGGAAATTCCCTTCTGTGGTTTTACACGTTCGGATCATTCTCGGGTTGAAGCCATTCAAACATCCGTAACCAAAGAAGCAGTCTTCCTTCCACTGCATCCAATCGTCGTGTAACTTCCCCCGTCAGGATCCCTCCTACTGGAGACCGGGCTTTGCAACTCCCAAGAGATCCGTTCCAGGTCATCCCAGGTTTTCCCAAAGTTTATGGCAAGTTTCTTCAACAACTCTTAACAGGCTGAAGGGATAGGAAACTACATACGTATGCATCACTCATTGTCATCACTGTTGCCTGGTTGACCTTAACCCTTTCAGGGACAGCGGTTACTACAGTGGACACCTTATCATGTTATCAGGTTACAGGTTATTATTGGTGTATGAAAGGATTAATGTGAATCTGTAACGTGAATTGTAAAGCATGCTCAAAGTCACTCCTCTTCCCGTTGTCAAAGCGGACATCCTGCAGTAGATCGTTTTCTGTTTGTGCGTAGATATATCGCAGTATGCCCAGAGCCCAAGTCAGCCATCAAATGACAGAAAGAGCATCACTGTGGACGTGTGCGGATTGTCAATCGTGCAGCATGAGAAGAACTGTAAATCGCCTGTCTGTCCTCGAGATCTGTCCCTCTGTGGGCTTGCAGTAGAGCCGAGGAGTCATGGCTTTGTATCTTGGCCAAGGAGAAGAAAATTGGCAAGTGTTGCTAGCTACACAACAATCTTTGTGCGCCCCTACCCGTTCCCTCTTGTGACATCGCCAACAAACCAGCGGTAACAAGGAAATGTGAGCAATTGCCTTCAAGTTCGAGGTTCCACTGTGACGAAGCGACAGAACCGGTCTTCCACCCAATCCCTCTCCGTTGTCTAGTCTGACCAGGAACAGTGTCAGCCCAGTGGTGCACGACCGACGAACTTCGGAGCGATCCTCCTGCTGGATGCAACATGTCGGTCTCTGTTGGCCATCATTGATGACCGCTCCTTGGCACAAGTCCAGGCCAGGTTTGTCCAGTAGGGTGCACTCATTCTACCCCTTGTCCCCCACCAGGGTCAGGTAGATGTAGTTGCTGGTGCCCACGTAACCCAATGTATCCGTCGCCACGGTTACAGTGTACAAAGCAGACTTCCCAGCTGAGGATGGATTTATATATGTAACCAAGACACTTTCGGTCACCGGCGTTATAGAGTTGTTGTACTTGGAGCTCGATTTTTTTCCTCAACTGCGCTGTGCCTGAGAAGACAAATCAAGCAAAATGATTCCTAACTTTCTAGCTCATCTCCTGGATTTTGTCGCTCTTCCTGAGTCATTTGATTTTCTTTTTGGTTCTCGGACAGCAGACGGTCGAGTGCAAACGTTTCCTATTTCTTGTTTCAAAATGTGTCTGTCTTCCCTGTTGCACTCCAGAACACACCTCTCCAGCAAACCTGTGTGTGTGTGTGTGTGTGTGTGTGTGTGTGTGTGTGTGTGTGTGTGTGTGTGTGTTGTGTGTGTGTGTATGTGTGTATGTGTGTATGTGTGTATGTGTGTATGTGTGTATGTGTGTGTGTGTGTGTGTGTGTGTGTGTGTGTGTGTGTGTGTGCGCGTGTGCGTGTGTATAGTTCACAGTCTACGCCAGGGGTCACCAACATGGTGCCCGCGGGGACCAGGTAGCCCGTGAAGACCACTTGAGTAGCCCGCCATTGCCTGGACATTGTGATTTGCTCGTAGAAATGATGATTTAAAAATGCTTTAAAATCACTGGCAGTATTGTGAGACATTTTTAAACACGATCAAAGTCTGACAATTTAATTAAATCATCAAGTATTAAAAATAACACGTGCTCATATTATTGAAGGTATTTTGGACAAATATGTTATTTTAGACGTATATCAGTTTGGTAGACCTTCACACAATTAGTACACATGAAGTCGCTCTCACCCTCAAAAATGTTGGTGACACCTGGTCTACACACACGCAGCCCTGAAGAGGCACACTGCAGAGCTAAGCATCATCGCATGATGTAATAGCTTCCTCGTCATCGTCATGGTTTAAAAAAACCAAAGCCGAGTTGGACTTTGCTGCATACTCAAAAGGCTCAGACAGAGTTTATTTCAAGACAGGAGGTTTGAACATGAACCAGAATCCAAATATTAGGTCCATTAGGCTAGCAAAAATACATGACTCTATCAAACTAAAGCGATGGTTGACTTGAGCAGCATTGAGCCATGAACATCGTGATGCTGGTGGCGGCTGAACGAAACGTCGAAAGAAAACACAAGACACATTAATCGTCTTTACAAACACTTAAATGAGGAACGAAGCTTTGTTCATGCCCACACCTGTTCCAAATGCACTTTTCAAAGGCAGCATTCACATGACCGGTAAAATACACAAGTACACACAAAGACTATGTTCACTATAAGTATTAAACAGTTTTTGTAGTTTGCATGTCATTTTTTGCCACTCTGTTAGACAGTGTGGTCTTGTTTAAAAACGCGCTTCCAAAAATAGACAGCATCTGTCATTCATGTGTGATGTACACGCGCATCAGCCATGACAAAGTCCTTGTCGTGTTTCCTTAGGATACGTCTGCGCTGCTGCTGCTGCTAGATTATGAGTTGAAGGTAAGGGGTGCTCCTCCAACATTATTGCCACCGGCTACTAAAGTGCATGACAACGCAATGGCTTGGTTCAACACACATACAGTACACAGAGTCCAACTTATAGTCAGTGTGTCCGCTTCTTCGATTGAGCAAAGTGCTTTTTGGACATACAAAAAAATAAAATCAGTGTCGGGATGCAACGCGACAACCTTTCTGCTGAGTTTCGTATTTAATTGGGATTGAGAAAATATTTTTGTTTTGACTATGGCACTTGCTCGCAATCATTATCAGCAATGATTTAAAAAGGTAAGAAACGGATCAATATGCAGCAATGGGATACATCTCTGCAAGTTTGTACATTTTTCCAAATTATGACTTTGTCAACAGTCCTCGGGAATTAGAACAGGCCAGGGGGCTATTTATGTGGTCCTTTGGGATGACCATATTAGTGATCCCGGATCTCGCTTGTGTGCGTGTATACCTTCGAGGAAGCTCTTCAGATGATTTGTGACCTTCTTTGGTTCAAACTAAAGTTCAACTTGTTAGGCTTCCTGAATGAAGGCGAATTGATATACAATGGTACCTCTACTTAGGAAAGTAATTCGTCCTGGAAGAAATGTCTGAATCAGAAAATTTTGTAAATCGAGACGCGTTTTCCATGTAAATGCCCTAATCCGTTCCAAGACCCCCCAAAATTCAGACATAAATGTTTTCTAAAGCATAAAAATGGAACTAATACATGTTTCAATTAGATTATGGCACAATCAATGAGAGTTGTGCACAATGTAAAAAACAAAGAAGAGAGTAAAGAATAACAAAATGGTGATCATTTAACTTAACTGGCTCCTCATCATTTTTTGCCCTCTGGAATTCATGTTATGTCGCAGAAGAGATTTTTTGCCTGGCGTTTTGTAAAGAACTGATCCAAGGACGTTTGCTTTTTTCGGCTTTTAACAATCCTTCGAAAACGTCCAAGGCATACATCAGCATAGTGAGCGATCGCCCGACCGGTGAACACTTTTTTCTTGGGTGATTTACATTTACGTCAAACTATCGGAACGCCTCATGACCCGAGGGACGAATGACGAGGATCTACATGCATAGACACGTACGGTAGAGGTCCCGCTTAGCCAATGGGATGCCAGGAAGATGCTCGGTAATAGCCAATGGCAGAGCAGCTAGAAGTATGCTGCGTTCAGGAAACTCGGCGCTGCGACAAGCAGCCCACATCCTGTATTTTTACCTTTCATATCTTGAAATTTCTTTCATAACAAGAGGCAATATTTTCCTGTCGAGGCGTTTCGTAACTTGAAAATTTCGTATGAAGAGACGTTCGTAAGTAGAGGTACCACTGTATTTGCACGACTTCAAATATTCCCAAAATAGCATTTTGTACCTTGCAATTAAAAAAAGCATGACTGTGGACTGCAGACCTTCTGTTAGACGGTGACAGTACTGTACGCGTTGGTCAATTCATCCTAAACCAGCCCAGCGGCGAAAATCATTGACACTTTCTGAGCAGAGGTAATCAATCAAAAGTAAAAATACTGAAAATATTTCTATTCTTGTGACCACTGAGGTCCCGTTTTTTTTAACAATATGACTTGAAATATACGACCCAATAATTCTTCCGGTGTTTCCATTCATCAGTATCCAAATGCCATTATTGTTGTCAGGGTGCTTACGGAACCACCCACATGAGGTATTAGTAACTTTTAACAACATCCATTATCCGACCGCACTTTTCAAGCATTTAGTTTGGCGTCAAAAGTAGCCACCTCCCCAGCCTCAAACAAAGAAAAAAACCCCACATTTTATACACACCATAATTTTTTTTGTTTTTGCAGTTGATAAAGCTAGTGAATTAGTAACATAATTGCGTGCGTGTATGTATATATATATTCACAGTTAAGAGCAGTGAAGCAGCTGATCATGAATGCCATTTTGATCTCATAACAGTGGCCGTGATTCTCTTGAAGAGGAATTTAAAGTGTCTTCAGAGTTGCCGATTCCACTGATTTGGAGATGCTATCCGGGCCTCCACTCTACCGTACGATGCATGACTCTCAACCTGAATGGGAGCCCGTGGGGTTGCGCTGGAGTGTGTGGAACATGACAACAAATAATCAACCGCTCAGTCATCCATTTGCTCTGAAGGAAAAATAAAACAAACAAACACCAAATACTGCTTATCGTCACATGAGGGGGCATAGACCTGTGGTGCTTATCTAGTAAGTAGAGTTAGTTAGTCGCTTTGCTTTCCATCCCCTCGAAACCGCAATCTCGACATGTCCGTTCTCTCGTTCCTTCTTGACTACATGACGTCGGACTCCACCACGCATTGCTCTGTGTACTCCTTCACCAGCTCCACGCTCAGTGCGTGGCGGCAAAAGTCGGCCATGGGCTTCCACAGCGGCGGGTCCAGGAACATCTGGCACATGATGTGACCCTTCAGAGTGGCCGTGTGGCGCTGCAGGTGGCTCAAGAATTGCTGGCGAACCAGATCCAGGTCTTTGCCGAACATGTCGATGTTCAGGTAGTACCTGGTGGGGGGGAAACGGTGCAGGGGTCAGTGGACTTAAGCGTGGCGTTTATAACGGCGCTACCTTAAAAAGCTGCATACCAGTCTTCTCCAATGGGCACCCTAAATGGGAAGGTACACAGGCTTCCCACGCTTGGCTTTGATGCGTCGTCCACCATCCAGTCGATATCCTTCTTCATCAGGATGGCCATGTTGCCGGGCACTGGCTTGAACGGCTGCCAGTCTTGAATGATGGTGGCGTTCGGGAGGACCCCGCGCATCAGGTCGCTCGTCAGAAAGAGCCGACGGACGGCGCTCTGGTCCAGACGTACTGGAGGAGGCTTTGGCAACGAGGCGGACGCCGGCTGGCTTTCTCCGCCACCGAGGTCTGACAGTCGGCGCTTAAGGTCCTCGGCTCTGAAGCGAACCAGTAGGATGCCCTGCGGGGGAGGAAAGCCTCGCTGGCATCCAAAGTGGATGGCATGATGTGGCTCAGCAGTCGCCGTACCTGCTTGGTTATGATGCGATACTTCTGGAAATCCTTGGGACCCAGCTGATCGTCGCGGGTCAGGCGGCTGACTTTCACCTCGGGATACTTTGACTTGACCAGCTCGGAGCAAAAGCGCAGCAGAACTCCCGCCACGCCTTTGCCCCTTTCCTGAGGGGCCACGCGGAGACCCTCCACTAGCATGGTCTCGCCTTCGTCGATCACGCATACCGATTCCAGGGCGATCTGTCGGGAAGATCAGAAAAGCGCTCTCAACGAGAGAACCTTGTCGTCGTCAACGCTTTGGTTGATTTCGTGCTCTGAGGTCAGAAACCCGTAAAAACATAATCCTCCTTCAAATTCACTGAAACAAACAAACATTGCCATATTTGAGATATGTCACACTAAAAGATCTCCGACTCACTATGAGCATTTTGAAAATATCGCGTTCCCCTGCTATTCGCAGATCGAGGCCTCACGAGTCATTGAAATCGCCTGTCAAGATTTACGTTGCCAATAATGTCTTACTGTATTTGTAATTATGATTTTATTGTTGTTATTTAGATACTACAGAGCAGTCCTGACATACCATAGCCAGCAAAATTTGTTAGATGTGTCGCATTCTTTTCAGAAATGGGATTGCCTAATCATGAACCAAACACAGCTATAAAGGAAATAATGAGTCAGTCATCATATATATATAT